ATAGATAGATAGATAGATAGATAGATAGATAGATAGATAGATAGATAGATAGATAGATAGATAGATAGATAGAGGTATATACATTTGTGTGTTTATATGTATCTATCATTTTTGCTTCTTGAAAATCCACAGCTATTTCTATTGTATTTCTGCATCTTGAAAAAAAAGTTTCTCAAAGTTTACACATATAAAATATTTCAGTTATGTTACTTACAGTAAAACTTTGTTTAACCCATAATTTTTAATAGCATTTATGTTTTTAATGTTGAAATTCTGGCCTCGGTTGTGCTTCCATAATTATAATGTTTAGTCTTTTTAACTTTAGACAGGAGCTGGTAAGACTTATACAATGGGCACAGGATTTGATGTCAATATAATGGAAGAGGAACAGGGTATTATATCGCGAGCTGTAAAACATCTGTACAAGTGCATTGAAGAGAAAAAGCATTCAGCTATTCAGCAAGGGCTTCCACCTCCAGAATTTAAAGTCAATGCTCAATTCTTAGAGGTAATTCTTTATAATAGAATCGATACTTAAGTATTTGTTTGTAATCATTATCACAGAGCTCCCTGTTGCCGTGTGTGTAAGGAAATAAATTAGATTAATACTTTTATTTATTTTAGTTGGGAAAATAGGAAGGGCATTGAAATTTGGTTCATATTGGGAATCTCTGCCTTCTGGAACAGTCTAAAATTATACTGCAGTAAACACAAATTACACAGTGTCCAAACTTCCCATTCCAATAAATCATATAAGTTTAGTAAAGTATAATTTAAAGCCAAGAAAAACCTTTGCAATATTGATCAGTAAGATGTCTCCTCTCTTTATAGGCCAAAGAAATAAAACAAGATTTGTCTTGTCTTGAACACGTGCAGTTTTGAAGGGTGTTTCCTTTTTAAATGCCTCTAAATATAGAGTTCAGAATTGATATGCAGAAAGTTCAAATTACAGTTGTCTAAACTAATACAGCTTCAGACATAGGATTCTCACTTTTTTTGTCAAAGTAGCAATTGGAGTGTGTGTGTGTGTATCTGAACATGTATACATGCAACACAAACTGAGTTTGATGGTTAGTTTACATAGTTTGATACCAAGGCCCTTGTCTTTGAATTTCAAAACTTTTCTCTAAATCATTCTTAGTCTTCTTTAACTTAAAGGGTATTTTTTGCATAACAATAAGGCTTTTCTGTCATTTCAATTAATTCAAATTAAATATAATTATATAATTAAATATTAAAAGCAATACCTTTCTTAGGCTAACCTATACTTCACAGAGTAATCTTCTTAGGAGGCATATTATGAATGATGCATTTAGTTTGTTAATTGTTGAATTCTGTTAAACAGCTTTTTACTCTTACTGACATCATTTCCCCCTATTGATTTAGCTTTACAATGAAGAAGTACTTGACCTGTTCGATTCAACACGTGATATTGATTCAAAGAACAAAAAGTCAAATATCAAAATCCATGAAGATTCAGCAGGAGGAATATATACAGTGGGAGTCACAACACGGACTGTGAACGCAGAATCAGAGGTGCCCTTGTGCAAAATAACACTATTTCTTGAAAACAACCAAAATATTTAATTTATTTATATTTCATTATTTTTCCCTCCAGAAAATTAAGTCAAGCACACAAGATTGCTTTCATTTTTATCCTTATGTACTCACTTTAGAGTGAGAATTGGCTTAAAGTCACCAAGGGAGTTTCATAACTTTTAGCCCTAAGTCCAGCACTTAGTTATATTGGTCTGCAGCCCAAAGCAGTCTTAGTAATATATGTGTTTTTCAAGTATATATTCTCTTCTGTTTTGGATACATTAATTAGCTTTTTCCAATTTTACTCCAGAAGTACCAAACCCAAGTTCTGTTATTTCTGCTGCTATGGAGAAATGCAGAACAAAGTAAAATACGATGATAGCTTGCTGTGACAATCTCTTCTGAGCATGTGAGGACTGAGGCGGATTGTACCCTTATTTACTTTAGCTCTTTTCTGGTTCCCAGGCTGTTGCTGAAGTTACATTAAATATTCAAAGCACAGTTACAGGGAACAGAGAGTGAGAGAGAGGCACTACAAGGGGACATTGTTAGCATACTTGGAGTTACTATAACAACATAAGGTAGCCTTCTATTCACTGGAAACTGATCTATTTTTGCACTCCTGAGATTTCCAGTATGTTCTGTGATGCATTTTTTGGTGGGGGAGCCTTCTTTATAGATCCCTGATAATTAATTATACGGTTCTTTCGATATCTGCTGAGAATATAGGAAAGGTCACACTACTTTTCACTTTGCAGGCATGGACCTTCTGAAAGTTTGGGAATAGAATGGAAGCAAGTGAATAATGTCAGGGTTCCAAATAGCATCCAAAAGTAAATCAGAGTCCAAGGCAAAGTATTGGTTAAAGTTCCAATTTATTAAGAGAGCCACATTGGCACATNAGTTCAAAGGCCTCAATTCTTTGGCGCTCAGCCTTATGGTCCAACTTTCACAGCCATACAGTGCAACTGGGAAAACCATAGCCTCATAGTTTCTTACCATCCTTTTTTTTTAACTTTTGCAAAACATTTTAGCTAGTTTCGTCTAGTGGGTAAGGCACCAGACTAGAAAGTGAGAGACCGGGAATTCTAGTCCTGTCTTAGCCATGAAAGCCTACCTCACAGGGTTGTTGTAGTAGGAACAGTAGGAGAAGCTGTATTGAACATGTTTGCCACCTTGAATAACTTGTAAAAGTAGTAAAGGAGGGATAGAAATAACATTAATAAAATACACATTCAAATGACTGCAATGGCTCATTGTTAAAAACACACTAAGTGAATATGTCTTGCAGCTTTTTCTTCCCATGTTGTTCTTTTTCTCCTTCCCTGTTTTCTTGTAAGCTTATTCATACATGCATCATACAAATATGTGAGCTAAAGCTAAAGATCACTGAGTTGAAAGTATTAACCAATTTGTGGGTGGAACAAGACTAAAAAAAATATGTGTTGTTGATACTAGTACTGAAATGACTGAAAAATATGAGAACAGGTTAGAATTAAAGTCAATTGATTTAATTGATAAAATAAAAGATGTTGGATAGCCATTTGTCTGAAATAGTATAGGGCCATGATGGCGAACCTATGGCACACGTGCCATAGGTGGCACACGGAGCCATCTCGGTGGACACCGATCTCCGGTGTGTACCTGCTGATTTTCTAGCCTGCTGGATCCACCGGAAGTCGACAAATGAGCTGTTTCTGGCCTCGGGGGGCGGGGGGAGGCCGTTTTTGCCCTCCCCAGGCTCCTAGAAATGCTCTGGATCCTGGGGAAAGCAAAAAACGGGTCCACCGTGCCATCGCATACCAAAAGCGGGGGGAGCATGAGGGGCATATGCATATGCGCAGGAGTTGGGTGCATAGAATCATGGGTATGGGCACGTGCATGCACAACACCCCCGCACTCCCCCCCGCGCACACCCCCACTTTTGGCACGCGATGGCAAAAAGATTAGCCATCATTAGTATAGGGTTTCCTGCCTAGGCAGGCGGTTGGACTAGAAGACCTCCAAGGTCCCTTCCAACTCTGCTATTGTATTATTATTGTATTATTGTATTAGTCAAACTTCTGTGTTTATGTTAAGGGGCATTCTTTCTTTCCCATTTCTTTATTTCTATGGAGATTAATATGTAGTGACCAAAAGTAATTTGCATTTAGTAATTTTCTGCTGGCAGAAAACGTGAAAGATTTTCATTTTGAACCCTTCTCTCTCTTTTCTAAAAGTTATAAACCGACTTGCTTTTGACCCAATAAAATTATTTTTGTCTTTATTAGTATCAGCCTGGAATGGACTTTTCACTGCCCCCAAGGAGCAGCAGTAAAACATTAGATAGATGAGATCAGTGTCACCACTTTGAATGATGAACTGGAGTAGGGTGAGACTGTCAGAGCAGTGTGTGTGTGTATGTGTAAGCAAATAATTGTTCCCAGAAATTATGCAAAAGTATTCCTCAGTAGCATGAGATATAATAATTGATAACATTTACACAGTATCTTTATTTGTTGGATAGGACAGCCTGGCATAAACTTTTGTGGTTCAGAATAGCCCAAAGGGTCATTTTTGATATATATATATTTATCACAGAAACAAACCAACATCCCAGAATGCTAATCTATGCATTCAAAGTAGGATTTTTGGATCTATTACTTGTTAGGTAAATTGAGACTGAAATATAAAATGAAGGACTAACCAACCAGCGTGCTTCTAAGGACTTCAAAATTATACAGGTAATCCTCATTTACAGACCATAATTGTAATCAGCAACTCTGTCACTAAGTGACACGGTCGTAAAGTAAAATGTGTGACTGTGCCTGACTTACAGTGTCAGATCTGCCGCAGTCATTAAGGAAACCATGTGGGTTTTAAATATTTTAATATCGCATGACCACAACCTGTGGCTTCCTGTTAGCCTCCCCCATTGACTTATTGGAAGCTGGCTGGGAAAGTCAACGAATGGTGACTATGGGACTGTGCAACAGTCATAAACCTGTATTGGTTTCCAAACACCCCTCCCGCCACCATCTCTACTGGTTCGCCCGAACCGAATAGAACTGGCTGAATTGCACCACTGCCTCAAACACCCCAAAAAAGAACAGCTGTTAAAAGACAATCAAGCCCTCAGGATCTACCTCTCTACCACTTAAGGCGTGGGTAAACAGAAAGTTCTAAAGGCAAATAAAAAGTTTTCAGAATGTTTATGGTAAGATTTCCTTTAAAACAACAATAGCATGGGTTTATCTTCTTTTGCAGGATTTATTCGAAACTAATTTCTGGCCTATCAGTTTTTGTAAGCAATTGTAAAAGCAAGGAGGAGAATGGAACAGAGATTGTTGGCTTCTGTTCTAACTTGAAAGAACTTGGGGCACCTCCCAAGGCCAAGCTCCTAGGAGTTAAAAAAGGAATCTTTGCACCAGTTTCCTAGATTGATACAAGGCCGTAAAGGGAATTGGTAGATCAGTGATATTTTTTTTTTAAAAAAAGACAAAACATGAGAGACATAGATTTCTAAATTGTCAAATAAGCTTCATAGATTGATGCACAAACTTGGATATTAGCTTTTGCGGTCTAATTGATGTGTTCTAATGTTCCTGTTAACACTGAAGCATTAATACAGGTTTTTCAAGTGACTCAGACGCATCTAGTTATGAAACGGAAGCCCTGAAGCAAAGCAAAGGTGGAGAATTTTTTTTTGATAGGATAAATTGGGTGAAAGGTCAGAAGACCATCCTATTTGGCACTATAACTCCCACCTGCGTGGGAGGTATATGGTGAAGAATGATGAAGAACTGAGTGACTGGAGTTTCCCATTCCTGATCTGCTGTGTGTTAAATGCCACTTTTTAAGTTTTAAAAAGCACTGGTGTCAACTGAAATAATGGGGTTGTATAAAGATAAATGTCCCCCTTGCACATATGTGCTAGTCGTTCCCGACTCTAGGAGGGCGGTGCTCATCTCGTTTCCAAGCCAAAGAGCCAGCGCTGTCCAAAGATGTCTCCCTGGTCATGTGGTCGGCATGACTAAATGCCAAAGGCGCATGGAACGTTGTTACCTTCCCACCAAAGGTGGCCCTTATTTTTCTACTTGCACTTTTTACATGCTTTCCAACTGCTAGGTTGGCAGAAACTGGGACAAGTAACAGGAGCTTACTCTGCAGCACTAGGGATTCGAACCGCTGACCTTTCTGATCGACAAACTCAGCACCTTAGCTACTGAGCCACCGCGTCCCTTTAGGTTTTATAGAAGGGAAATGCCACATTTAATGCCCTATGCTAAATAAAGAAAACCTCATTTAATGTCTACTGAAATCTAGAGGCAATATTGAGAGACATGAGTTGATGTTGGCCAAACTTCTATGTGGTTTTCACGATAACTCTTACAGAAAAGGGAAATAACATAAAGCATGCTCTATGGGAAAAACACACACAACGGTCTGTGCGTTATATTAATATTATTATAAAATACGTTCATACAAGCAAAAATAAAAGAATTACCCTGTTTCCCTGAAAATAAGACCTTCCTGGATAATAAGCCCAATCGGGCTTTTGAGCGCGTAAGCCTTTCCCTGAAAATAAGCCCTCCCCAAAAATATTGCAACACAGAAGCATCTCTGAGGTGACCACGCTCGCCACTTCCTGCACCCCAAAAATTATAAGACCTCCCTGAAAATAAGGCCAAGCGCTTATTACAGGGGGGAGAAAATAAAACCCTGTCTTATTTTCAGGAAAACATGGTAGATAATAGAGTGAGAGATGTTCACTTAGAAATATTAAACAAAGCTTTTGCATTTAATGTATTTTTGGGTTTTGAAGAATATGTTGGGTGGCTTTTTGAAAAAAGAGATCTATTTAGTTGAAAGCCAAGCAACATAATTTTCCATTTCTTCTCTTTTTTTCCCTTTGGCAAGCGAACAAAAGACCTTGTCAGACTTAAGTGGATGCCATCTGTATTGAGCTGGTGGACTGGGATAAAATAGCCAAGGAATTACGTGGGGAGACGATAATA